CCAGAGTGAGGACAGACTGAGGGACACACTGCTGCACATCATCTGTGAGGCTTTGCACCCCTGATGATCCACCAGGACAAACTCAACAGTGTGTGAGGAAGAGGAGGAGGAAGAGCCAGCAGCAGCTGACAGATGGAGAGAATAGACAGACTGTTCCCTGTTTGTGAAGGACAGCTAGAAAAGTTTAAAATAACTAATTGTCTGTCCTGAATCAGTCTTATTAGGTAATGTTCAAATCATTTTATCATTCCAGTGTTTTCAGTGTGGGAGAAAGTACTCAGGGCCTTCAAGTTACACACTATGAAAGGCAGAAACAAGTTTAATATTCAGAAACCTAAAGTATGTATCAGCAGCAGAATGGACCTAAAAATAAATGTTTTGCACGTGTTTTGGAGTTTGTACGTTTTTTGGAGTTTGTACGTGTTTTGGAGTTTGCATATGTTTTGGAGTTTGTACGTGCTTTGTCTCTAGGGGCCACCGTAGAAACTGTTGTGGTTTATGAAAAAATTACAAAGTGACTTTAGGACTCACACACAGGCAAAACTCTACAGGCTGTTCAGTCCATTAAGCCCAACCAGTCATGGCAGATGACCTGAGCCCTGTTCTGCTGGAAGTTTCTTCCTGTTAACAGGGAGTTTTTCGTTCCCACTGTCACCTACTGCTTCCTTAAAGGGTTTTTTTCATTTTTTATTGTTGGGCTTTCCTGTCTGTTTCTCTTTCTCTCTATAGCCATTGTTTGGCTGTTTATATATTGATTGATTGATAATACTTTATTCATCCCAAGGGAAATTGTTTTAAAGGCTGCCAGGCGATCCAGCGGCATATGTCTGTGTTAACAAGCAGTTGGAGTGGTGTACATATTAAAGTCACTGATGAATGTTTATATAGAACAGTCACTCCTGATATAAAACTGTTGAATGAGGGAAAATGGTAAAATTAGAGTCTGCATGGGTGGATCGCCTGTTTGAGCTGCAGAGTTACACAACTGCAGAGAGGCTGTGATCCTGATCAGTCCTACTGGAGGTAATTAATAATTGTAATGGTAATAATTAGAATATAAGAGTTACTGCAGTTGTGCTTCATGCAAAAAAAACACTCTCCATTTGGAGTCGCTCATATGGATCTTGCTGCTGCATGCTCGATAAAGATTTTTTGACTTGCGACTCCTACAAAGGGTAAGCAATACACCAAAACTGGATTGCATTTGTACTGACCATTAATAGAGCCAAATGGCTGGTGTTTTTAAAAAGAATTTAAAGCTCTGTGAACAAATTAGTCATCTCCAGGTTTTTGTGGTGTTGATGCACTGGTGTTGGTATGAGTGTTACTTACAGTAAAATTGATGTGGACACAGTTAAAGCTAGATCACTAGATGTCTCATACCACTAACAACACATAAGCATGGGATGTAACCTAACCCCTAAAGCTCTGTGTTGTGGCCACCAGTTAAAAAATTTTTTCTTTTAAATACTTCTACTTAATTTCTGAGAGAATCCAGTTATTCCATCATTTTGGGATGCCACTTGGCTTTAAAACTGAAATCGCTTTTAAGCCTCAGCCTCAGGTGTAGTTATAAAAGTTGAATTCTTGAGTACAGTTCTGTTTTGTAATTGTCTCTAATGTTAAAAATCAAAGAACTAATTCTTAGTGGCAGCGGCATGGTGTTTGACGTCACCATTACCCACAAATGAAAGGGCTGCCAACAATCTGAGGACAGACGGTTTACTGCAAAAACGCCTGTGTTGTCCGCAAACAGTGCTCATTTAACATAGCTTCAAGGAATCAGCTCAGAGATGCTTGTCATGATCTTCTAAACAACATCAGTTGAAATTCAGTCAACAATATTGGCTTAGTTTCTGCAGCGAGCATCTGACCAACAACCTCATCATCATCCTCTGCAGTGGAGATGATCCATTTACCCCAGTCTGTATAAAACAAAGGGAACCAATGTGCAATTTTGTTTGACTGATAGAATGAAAGTTTTCATCTCTCTTCATCATCATATCATCATTTTCATCCAACCAGATTTAATAATTTTTAAATATTATGCTTTCTTTTCTTTCTCACACACATCCATGTTTCCAGGCTGGAGATGTGATTTCACAATCTTCTGCTCTGACTTCGGGTGCCAGATTGTCTTTACTGCACATTCATTTTAGCTCTTAAGAGATCAAGAATTGTAGTAATTCATTCATTCGTTTTTTGGGGGGTTAGTGATGCACAAGGACAAGCTGTTACATGACAAACCTAAATTTCTCTGAAAGGACATTTTTATTGCACGATAAAAGTAGTTTTATTACGCTTGTGAAAGGGGGAGGGAACTTCAGTGCTGTTAGTTTGAGCGATCAGAGCGTTCACAACGTTGTGTTCTGCTTTAGTTGCAGTCTTGACTTGGCTCCAAGCGTTAGAGGATGAAGATCGCTGTGGTGGGAGCCACTGGGCAGACTGGACAGTATCTGGTCAACCAGGCCCTGCTGCAAGGCCACGTGGTCACAGCCCTCGTCAGGAACCCGGGGAAGCTCACCGTGACTCATGAGAATCTCAAGGCAATTATCTGTTTTAAGCTCTGTTACGTGCAATCAACAAAAGTAATCATGCACATTTTAACAGTCAGTCTTGTAACTGTTTTCCAGGTGGTGACTGCTGATATTTTCTCGGCAGACAGTATGAAGACTCATTTCAAAGACCAGGATGTTGTCATGTCCTGCCTCGGCTTCCCAGCCTCCTTCTTCACCGGGGTGACGGGCTACACTCGGTCCATGACTGCTATGGTCAGTGCGATGCAAGAGACCCAGGTGAACAGGATCATCACCATGACCTCCTGGTACACAGAGCGTAAGTGCATCACACAGATGTGGCCCTTTAGATTTGTTTTTTAATGTAACTGATATTTCTGAACTTGCTTTCCCAAAATGTGAAGGACAGGTGTCAAGGTTTGGCTTTGAGTCAAATGATTAAAAGCTTCTTTTTTAGCTGATTTATGAACATAGGCTACGTTGAGTCATGAGCCTGAACTGAATATGTCACTAAGAAAACAGATAGATGGAGGCACTTTCAAAAAACTTGGGCTTTGAAGGTTATTTGGCTTTTGTGGCTCAGGCTGTTCACTGTTTTTGATTTACTTTTTTCAGCAAACTCTGGAACTCAGTCATCATACCTGATCAGATTCCTCCTGCTGCCATTAATCCGAAGTGTCCTCAGCAACATGTATGAGATGGAGCAGCTTCTGCAGAAGACGGAGGACATCAACTGGACTGTGGTGCGTCCACCTGGCCTCAAGAACCTTCCGGCCACAGGTAAAAGCAGACGGATTGCATCATGGGTAGGGGGTGTCAACAGAGAATGGCGGAGCTTAATTCAGTGGAAGCTTTCTGACTTAGTGGGATCTATTTTACCTTAGTGCATAGTCTCACTTTGCTTTGTATAATTTCTCTGAGATCAGCAAATCATGGAGTTCAAGCATGTAACTGGACAAACTGTTAGGTTTTTTACTATCTGGCTGTTGTATTCTTTTTGTCCTTTACAGCTCAAGAGTTTCTAACCCATGAGGGATACTTTGTGCCTGACAACAATGGTCAACCTCCAGGCAGCGCAGTAGGAAGAGGAGACGTGGCTCGCTTCATGCTTTCTCTGCTCAACAGCAACGCCTGGGTCAAGAAGGGAGTCGCAATCACTACTAAATAACAAAGAAGAAGCCAGGCTCTGTGCTCCAACATATTGGCTGTATCCATGCAGGGAGACATTTTTCGGGGATATTAATCTTGCAATATTTACAGTGAAGCATTCAGCGTCTGGTGCATTAAATAATTAAAGTTGTAGTCCTCAGTTTTTTAATGCAGTTGAATCTATTGTTTTGTATTTGCGTTTTACAAATTTAGTGCTTTTATTCAGTCATATAAAGCAATGATCTATAGGCACAACTCTTAATGAAGCTTTGCTTCATAAGATGGGAGTATGTTTATAGTTTATGTGGGTAAAGTATCGTGATTGATTTCTCCTATAATCAAACAGCACTGTGTTTACAGCTTGGCTTAAACTTAGCTTTAATAAAATAGCAAGTCCCCCTGAAATCTAGTAAGAACAACCCATCTGAAATTTTTTTTTTTTAAGCCTCCAAGCATGGCAATGTATCCATTGTAAACACAGCCAGAGCTATCTTCATGGTGAGATTCCGCCGAAGCTGGAATAACTGGTCTAACTGGGGTGAAGTGCCTATTAGGAAAAAAGAGTTGCTAGTAGAAATAACTGTCTAACTGATCAATGTTATTTTATTTACTTTTTTTAAAAACGTGTGTGTGTGTGTGTGTGTGTGTGTGTGTGTGTGTGTGTGTGTGTGTGTGTGTGTGAAAACTGTGAGTGCCTTCCCATGCATATTGCACTGTCAGACACATGATGGCAGTGCTGTGCCACATCTAGTAGTTTTAAGTAAAGCAAAGTTACTTGACTCTTACAGGTCGTGTCCATAAAAAAAAATGTAATGACAGGTTATCACCAAGTGCTCTGCATGTGTTAAAAAAAAGAAAGGAAAAAAAAGTACTGTACAAGTTGTGTGAATTGAACAGTTCTGAAAAGGGTGAAGGAATATTTGTGCTAGAAGTTCAAATACAAGGAGCAAATTTAGGAAATATCAGGTTAAATGAAATCCTGAGTTGAGAATTCTTATCAGAGAAAATTATTTGTTGCTTGTATGAGTTTTAGTTGCAGAGTCGCACCAAGCGTCGTGTTTTTGAAGAAGTTGATTCCAGCGAAAGTTTTCACTACTGCTTTTTTTTTTTTTAAGTGAGGATGTGGCTGTGAGCTGTATGCAGGAGTAAGAGAGTGTTTCATATTCGGCCACTCACATGAGGTGGGGTTTTTTTTGTTGTTGTTTTTTTACCTGCTTACATAAAAAGCAAACTGGCAAGTTACCAGAAACCTTAAGGAAAAGAATTCCAGAGTTTCCAACCCAGTCACAAGCAATCGTTCAAATGCTTTTCATAGCTAAGCACCTGGTCCAGAATCCAGACACACCTTCTCACTCTGGTGGTTACTGTATCTTGTCCAGGCACACTTTCACATGCAGACCGGACCCACTCTACTTACCGAAGTAGAAAAAGAAAAGCCTCACTTCATTTTTTTGTTTTTGAATGATGATATAACTTCCCAGTGTCAAGTTTGTGTTAAGGTTTGTTTTTCATTTTCACATTTACCTATTAAAAGTAATTATTAACACAGTTTGACTATAATGTAAAAAAAAAAAAAGTAAAGAGATGTAAACCTTCTCTGTGGTGTTACTCTTTTCCTCCCATCTGGCAGCTCCATCCTCAACATCCTTTGCCCAGTCTATCCACCATCCCTCCTCTCCAGATGTCTTAATCACTGACTCCACAGTCATTGGTTCTAACCATCAATCTCTTTTCAAACAACTCAACCTGAGCTGTTTCTCTGATATACTCATTTCTAATCTTGTCCATTGTGGTCACTCTCAACAAAAGCAAGAATCTTAGCATCTTCAACTACCGTATGTGAATTCACATGAGTAAAAACCTTCCTCTTGCAGATAAAAAACAAAACAGTTATCAGTACGGGAGACTGCGTTGCTGATTCAGCTGATAAATGAAAAAAACTGAGTCAGTTTGGCTCTGACTCTGTGAGAGGAGGCAGATGAGGATGACATCAGCTGTTTTAATCAGATGCCACATAAAGAAAAAAGGATTACATGCTCAATGTTCTAAAGCAGGGGTGGGGGAACTCAAGGGCTGGTGTCCTGCAGGTTTTAGATGTGTCCTTGATCCAACACAGCTCCTCCTCAGCATGTCTCAGTTCTCCAGAGGCCTGGTAAGGAACTAATCATTTTATTCAGGTGTGTTGACCCAAGGTGATATCTAAAACCTGCAGTACACAGGCCCTCGAGGCCTAGAGGTCACCCACCCCTCTTCCAAAGTAATATGACAGCTGATGGTTCCTGCAGTAAAATGTTTGTATACATTGCTTTTCTGCTGCTTTCGTCCACTTACATGCCAGCTTAGTGATTATTTATTTCAAAATTTTTATTAGAATTATCACGTGTTTAAAGATAAAGAAACTTGTTTAATTTTGGTAACTGCAGCTTGACCCTTACACTTGTGAACATGTCACATAAAAATTGTTTTTCGTGGATCAGTCAAGCTCTGCTGGAGCACCTCTGTTCATTCACAAGTGAGAGAGCGAGAGAGACAGTGGAAAACATCTTCCACAGAACATTGTGTTAGAGATCATGATAACAAACCTGTATTCTGCTTTCTGTTCCGTGACAGAGTAAGGCATGCTGCATCATGTGTAGGCGATCTGATATTATCGTACCCTATTTCTGTAGTGAACATGAAACCACATTCCAGTACAAAAAAGTTGAGTAGACAAACAATGCAGGAGGATAAGATGTAAATTTTCTGCTCAGTTGAACAGACTGTCTCTGGCCAAAATGCCATCTTTATCTGAAACAAGTTTATCCAAGGATGTAATCTGATTTGTCGGAAAGTGGAAAAGCGGGCATATTATTCCAGTTTATCCTAAAGACACCTCTGTGTGCAGTTGACATGTGATCTACCATGCAAGTCCTGAAATTAGGCCAAGCTAAATGTAGCTTGTGTTTTTCCCATGCTTTAGGTGTTGCCTCTGGCTTTGTTGCCTGCAATTGTGCACAGTCTCGCTACTCATGCACTTAAAAGCGCTATACAAATACAGGCCATTTACCATTTAAATATCCCTAATCTAGCTGGATCTTTTTAGTAATGAGGTTGTCCACACTTAAAGACTTAAACTGGAGCCTGGGAAGCTTTTCCTTATTCGTGTCCAAGAAGTTTTTTTGTTTGTTTGTTTCTTTTTTAGAAGAGCTGAGAAATGTATAGTCATTATTGCATTATTGGCTCAGTGCTAAACTGACAGCTTCACAGCTCCCCGAGTCTTCAGTTGCTCCAAAACACATCAGGTGGGGTAAGAGAAAGAAATGATATTTCTCCCATACTGGCTTCTCATCACTGGATCTGCCGCACCTTCCTGAGCCTGGTTCTGCCTGAGCTTTCTTCCTGTTAAAAGGGAGTTTTTCCTTTCCACTGTCGCCAAAGTGCTTGCTCATAGGAGGTTGTCCCATTGTTGGGATTTCTCTGTATTATTCCAGGTCTTTGCCTTACAATAGTAAGTGCCTTGAGGCAACTATTGTTGTGATTGGCGCTAAGTAAATAAAATTGAATTGAACTCTTTTCCTCACATATAAAGTCTTAAATAATCAGGTCCCATCATATCTTAAAGACCTTAAGATATCATAATTTCTGCATTTATTCAGGTCTGGATCGGGTAACCCTGAGCCAGGTTATGCTGCTACAGGCTCAGGCTGATGAAGGATGCAGGGACCTGCGGAGCCTGGTTCTGCTGGAGGCCTCTTCCTGTTAAAGTGAAGTTCTTTTCTCTTTAGTAAGACTTTTACTAATGAAATTGAAGGTCTGTATCTTTGAACTTCAGGCACTGAAGCCTTACAATGCATATACACAGAGGTGTGGACTCGAGTCACATGACTTGGACTCGAGTCAGACTCGAGTCA